CAAAATTCACCGGAAATAGTATGTGCTACATTTGATTTTCAGAAAATTTTAAATTGTCCTCATGGTGACGTGGGCCTATTTTATTATAAACGGAAGCTATCACTGTATAATTTTACTTTGTTTGACCTTGGAAAAAAAGAAGGAACGTGCTATATGTGGACAGAGTGTACAGGAAAAAGAGGGGCGAATGAAGTAAGTAGTTGCTTACTTCAATTTGTTAAAAAAAAGTAGAAGAAGGTGCTAAGGATTTTTTCTTTTGGTCTGATAACTGCGCGGGTCAAAACCGCAATCGAATAGTGTATTCCCTATACATGTACCTAGCCAAGGAATATAAAATAAATATCACTCATCGATTTTTAGAACCAGGGCATACACAAAACGAGGGTGATAGCGTGCACGCTCTTATTGAGCGAGAATCTAAAGGGAAAATGATATATACTCCTGATCAATGGTTTGCCTTAGTACGTTGGTGTAAAACTAACGGAACCCCATACAATGTAGTAGAAATGACTCAAGATGACTTTTTTGATTTTAAAGGATCATCCAGATCGGAAATGGAAAAAAGACATAAGAAATGAAAATGTTAAATGGAATAGCATTAAAGAAATCGGTGTGTGTAAAGAAGAGCCAAATTCTTTAAATTTTAAATATAACCTGACAGATAACGCTTCATGTTTAAACACCAAAATAGAAACGAGAAGTCGTGGAAGAAGGCGAAATGTTGAACTTAAAAAGTCGTATACTCAACAACTGCCATTACCTGAAGCTAAATATAAAGATTTGATTTATTTATGTAACACAGCAGCCATACCTAAAGAATATCATAGATATTTTCAAAGTTTAAAATATAGTTCGACCCAATCTGAAGACTCCGATGATTAGAATTGACTTTCAATTATTTACTCGTTAATTTGATTTGCATTAAAGAATTTCGTTAAGTTAATTAATGTCAATAAAGAAAAATAAGAATACTTTACAGAAGACTGATTAAGTTATGTTATTTACTTATTATTTTTTTATTTTTGTAATACATAAGAGGTTTATGTTGTTTTTGTTCATAAAAAATAATTATTTCTTTGACTATGACATTAGTCGGGTAGTTTAGGTAAAAATGTAAAACCGTACTCTTCTTGGTACCTACTGATATGTTAAAATATGTTACCAAACTTTTATAAATTTTAAGTGAAAATAATTATTATGTTTTGACAACAATGGCAATGTGATTCGTCAGAATTACCTAGTTTAAGTATATTTTGATCTCATTATGCCAAATGGAACTTGGTCTGTGATTGTAATTTATGGTCTAATTAAACTTTCGTACTAAAACTCATCTTTATTTTACTTATGTTTAGTTTGGTACCTATTCATTAGTTCATTATTTATAGGTACAGTATCGAAACCTAAAAATAAATTCCACGTACTTGATCGAATATGACACTTTCAATATTTTTTTGTTACTAAGCCCGACGTAACATATCGAAAGAGACACTTTCGACAGACTTTCCAAAAACTCTTCCATAGTATAGTATCGAAAGAGGCAGTTTCGATTTTTCTCATTAATTGATTACCGTAATAACGTATCGAAACTAGCTTTTCTCACAAACTATCAATAAATTGAATGCATAGGTATTACATATATGTTAATTAATACAATTTTAGTATATATCTCAAATTAACTGCAGTTAGCTCAAAAGATGTAAATTTTATACGCAAAATAAACTTCAAAGTGCTCTGCTGTAAAGTTCCACTTTTCCATTTCGATATTATACGTAGAGACAGTCGATATTATCTATGCTAATTTTGGAAAACGTTTGTGCCCTATGAGCGGTAACTAACGCGAGCAAGGTAATAAGTTTTTTAGAGATATCTTCTAAAGATAAAGATTCATTAGGATAAAGATTTTCTAAAAAGTTTAATACTAGGGAAACATCCCAAGTTGTGTCATACTTGGCTAGTGGAGGTCGCAATCGGTATATACCTTTGAAAAAACGTTTGATGCTTTCATCGAGTCCTACATGTTCTCCTATGATCAAGGCCAAGGCGGAACGACAACAGTTCAACGTTCCGTATTGAGCACCTTCATCTTTATACAATTTAACTAAAAAGGTTAATATTTGTGGAATGCTAGCATTTAACAAATCAATTTTGTTATTTGAACAATGTAAGTACCACTTTTTAAGATAAACATCATATTGTTTTATTGAATTTGATGAAAGAGATGCTAACATCACGTCTAAAGCAGATAAAGGGATACCCCTTCTGGCTAATGCTGACTGGATAATACTGCGGCCGCCAGGGTAACTTGTGAGTGCATGTTGCGGGCGCTGTAATGAGAGCAAACAATAGGTCTTTCACTCGGCTTAAAAATTAAAATTCTGGAGCATACTAGGCTTTTGAAAAGCGGATACCAAGGTTGTGTTGGCCAGAGTGGCACCACCATAATTCCTCTCCCTTTATCTTCTAATATTTTTCTTAACGTTTTAAGTACCATAGAAAACGGAGGGAATGCATAGAAGTAGCAAGATGACCAATCTACTGTGAATGCATTGACTGCTTCAGCATCTGGGTCTCGATGCCAAGATATATATCTTGAGCATTTTGTATTGATTCTACTCGCAAAGAGGTCAATCTCTGGACAGCCAAACACTCAATGTCAGGATGGATACGCCTTTTTTTTTTTGTCAGGGGAAAATCATCCAATGACTTCTCCCGCCCAGGGTAAGGCGAGAGAGAGTGTCAGACTCTTACTGACTAAAAACCCCCCCGTTCCTTCTCCTGCTCTGGGCCGAGGTCGCGGTGCCTCATTGCGCTTACCCCGCAGCCCCGGCTAAACATCAGCCCTTTAGGGCCCCGACTGTGGTGGTCTATTGGCTCTTTGAGGCGCGCGCGGAACGCTACGCGCCGTACGCTCGGGTCCGGTTCTGGTCGGGCGGCGAGCTACCCTTACTCGCCGTCCGCAGACCCGCGCTTACGGTGGCCGGAGATCATCTCTCGATCCCCGACGTCCGGAATGTCGCCTTCTGCGGCGGCTGGGGCGCGAGGAGGATAGTTCCCTCACGCGCTCCGCCTCCTCCTTTGCGAGCATAACTGCTTCGCAGAAGGAGGAGATAGCTTCCCAGTTCCTCTCACGCTGCACCATGGCCTCGATTAAGGCCGGGCGCGAGAGGTCGCCGCCGCCGATCACTTCCCTGAGAAATTCCTTAATTTCCAATCGATATATTCAGCCTCCTTTTTTAATATATCAAGAAATTGGAGCATTTTAGGTTTTCTCTTCCCCATTTTATTGTTTAAACGTTTATGCCACGCTTCCGCTAGGCTTATTGTCCTATGACGAGCCCCATGTACGTTCCACATGAACTGTATATTGGTATTTTCTAACCACTGGGACACAAAATAATCGTTAAATTTCGTAACTGCTTCGCTCTGTAGAGCATTTTCCATGATGTGCAACCAAGCATCTTCAATGTCCTATTCCTTTATATGTGCTAATGCAGCACACATGGCTAAGTGACTTTTCTCTTCTATGTCATTCAGTTGTAGGGCGTGTGCTTTCCTGGCAAGAGCTTGTTTGAAATGAAAGTTACATCCTTGTAATTTAACATGAGGAAACACTTGTTTCAGGACGTTTATCACGGCAATTTCAAAGTCGACGACCATTGTAAGCGGTGTCCAGTTGGTTAAATTTTGCAATAAAGATATTATATACTAGTAGGATATACACTATTCACGTCTCCGTGTAAACAATAAAGTTGATAGAATGGTGTACAGCAGCTTGCAAATGTGCCATCCAAGAAGAATGTATTTAGAGTTGGTATAAATTCACGAGCAGACTCAGTGGAGAAGGCTATTATTCTGTTTTCAGGCTCACTGTTATCATCAAATAACAAAAAAATCTGTTAATATTTTTCTGGAATTATGACATCTTCGAGTCTTGAAAAATGTGTTTTGGGCACGTTTAGTACACGATTCCTAACATTATAAAGAGAACGTGTAATGTTTGAAAATTTTGGTATGGCATTTAATAATTCATAATCCTCATCCTTGGCTGATTGAAAAGCTACTTCATACACTTGAGGCATAGGTTTGAACGTGTTGGCCGCTGCTTCCTTGCAAAGATTTCTGGCCTTTAAAATTTCAGTTTTTACTATATTTGGTTGACACGTGTGGGCCGATTCATGCAAAATTCTGATGTCATGATTCTCCGAAATTTTAATAGTTGCACTACATGAACGATAAGTGCATCTCCATACAGTGCCAATCTTAGTTTCACGGTGGAAATTGTACGTATGACCATGTCTTACAAGCATACGCCGGCCTCTTTCTGTTTAGTAAAAGTGATCTGAAAAAATATATACGTTTTTTAATTAACGAGCCAAAAATTTAATATATTATGTATTTAGAAATAAACTAAAATCTACGTTACAAAAAAATATTTATTGATGAAAGTTTATAAGCAAGTGATATCTTTTTGTAATATTTGAGTTAAAAACATGTCTATTTTCACAAAGCTTCAAATTCTAAGTAACCGATCACGCCGTCCGCCATTTTGTTTTACGTTTCTCGTGCTCGTGTCGAAAGTAAGCTATACACGCGATACTTTTATATTTATTCACAATAATTTTAAATATATGAAATAATTAATGATTAAACGAACAACCGGTACGTGAAGTTCTATCATAATTATACGAAGGCTTCGTCCGAATAGATTAGCATTGATATAACACTTGTAGTACCGCGCAGTATTCGCCGCTTGCAACACTAATTTGAGGTGACACAAAGAAATTTTGACGTTCTTGACATTGACGCCCCTTTTTCGCGCCACTTCATTAAGTTTAGAGTAATGACTATTATTATTTAATTAGTATCGCTGCTTAACGTGGAGGTCCCCTGAGCAGGTGTCTGTGGCTCGGCCACACTGGACTGATCCCAGGTGTAACCGAGCCACCGATTCTGTGGGGCGCGCCCATCCTCGGTGTCGTGACTAGACTCTACATCTTTAGTTATTCCGCTGTGGGGACCGCACTGGGCGGGTCCGCTTTCGGCTCCACCTGCGTTATCACCCGTGATGGAAGGACTTTTGTTCCATCCGGATGGGAGGGATGGTCCGGTGAATTTGCAGGCTCCGGTCCGCGTAAAAAATTGCTGTTTGGTGGGACTGGGTACTGCAGTGGTGATACATTCCACGTCTCCCTATCCTTACGCATGGCAAACTTATTCACCACCATTACTCTACCAGGCCTACTGACGTGTCGGTATCTGTTGTTGATAGATATAGTACATAAGTTGGACATCATCCCAGCTGGCGTTGGATGCAACAATTCCGTTGAGCATGACAGTAGTTGCCAATCCTCGACGGAGAGGGGGATGGTGAAAGGTACTGCGTTACAGTGACCAAGGTAACTTACGGGTAAATTAGCAAAAGAGTCTTGCACAGTGCCGACCCAAGACACTGAGAGGTTGTTTTTCTCGTCTATCAGGATGTGAGGCGATTCAACTTGTGCGTTGATCACACCATCAGAAAAAGTGTACTCGCCTTTGTAGTCAATGTTAAACTGTTTGGCCCATTGTATAAAGGAAGGATATGGCATACAAACATGACTACCCCATGTCTCATGTCCGGGTTGGGTCCCAGTGTAGAGAAGTATCTCAGCACGTATAGAATGATTTGCACCTATTATCCTACGCATGAAAGTGTCGGTGTTAGACAATAGCACCAACCCGTGGGTCATATTTGCCACCCATTTGCGGACAGGAGTCTGGGAAAAAGGATCTTCGTTAATACCAACGCCGGACCACGCAGCTCTACTGATATCGCTAGATGCCAAAGCCAGCCCGAGGGACAAGGTCAGGGCGACTCCCTGCATAGTCACTACATTGGCGACGCCATCAGCGTTCCTGAACCGGTAGGAGTAATCATCCTTCAATATGAAACCCATTCCTGTAAGTATTCGGTACGCTGAATTAGCTGTATTACACTGGTATTGGGCGTTGTTTAAATCTGGTCTTTGATGCTGCCAGTGGGTCTCTGTCCCCACGTAGTTGTTACCAACAACGATGTTTGTTGTAGCCAGCGTAGCGTAATTCTGCGCATGCTGTTGTATAGGGGATACTGATGCGAAGGAATATCCACGAAGAAGCCTTCGTATCCGGGCACAAATCTCTTCCTCAGTACCAATGTCAACGTTTGAGGTTGTATGTAATGGGTGGCGCCGGTTGAAGTTATGTGCGCCAATGGTCCAGCCACCACCTAACTCATCTTCGTACCTCCCTTGTTCATCACCGTGAAGTCTAGGTGATTCGGGCATGTATGCAGACATTTCTGCGGCCAAAGACACGGCAATTTGAAAAGCCATAGAATGACAAAAATTGTCCTCCATGTACTGAAGAGCTCGTACCATGTTTTGACAGGAGGATGGGTAGTTTTCCTGAGTCCATAAGGCGTACATGGCGTTTTGTACGTCTACCCAGGCCTGTGCGAACGGGGTTTGTCCTGTCGCTATGCGCACGCCCCTATACACGTTCAAGTTAATCCCCGAAATGGTTATCGCTGTTTCCTGCGCATACGTGTTTTCATCCACCAGAACCAACACTAGCTTTGTTGGTCCTGGGATGTGTACTTGGTGGGCAGCAGGCATACCAGAGAACAAAACGTTAGCTGGCAATGCTTCAGTCGCGTGTTGCCCGGATGATAAAAAACACGTCTTTCCTGCCCACAGCGCAGTAGTCGTAAAACACATGATGAACTCTAACAGCCATGGATTCCCCAACATATCGGAGCAAATTGGGATTGCAGCCCACGATGTGTCCATTCCTGCCAAAGACATCCCATCGGCCCCTTCATTAGCCATCTCTGGATCCAGGTTTTTAAGATGGGCAGCAAAAGCTGGTAGAGTTATTGCAACCATGCGGACCCGTAGTCGATCCGCCTCAGCTACCTGGTGTATGTGTAGTTGTGTAAGTGTCCGGGTGTTAAGGTCTTGTCTCCGCAAAAACCTGGCATCGTATGAGTCAAAGTTCCATACGTCCCGTGCCCTTGGAAATGCGTATAACAGACCCCTGAGAGCGGGGGCTGTGTCTATGTATGATGCATTGTACGTAGAAACATACGCAGCCACCTCCTGCACAGACGAGACATCCCTGGCGAGTACCCCGCGAGTCGTGCTTATATAGGGCTGAGTTGCTGCCCTGTCGCTGTTTGTTGCGTAGGCCTCAAGAGCTACGAGCCCAGGACTTTTGTTGGGGCTACGATCATTGTGACCCTTGAATGACATCGCAACGGTACGGACCTCTCGCACAGGTACAACCAGCGAGCTGTTCCGCCGAGAAGGAGGAGTGGCAGTGCCTGCCGCCACCGACGAAATTGATTGTGAAGTACCCTCTGTTTGCGTGTCAATGTCTCCTCGGTTCAGTATTACACCATATTCCCCAATATCTGAATCACCTGGCATGTCTGCTGGCGGCTCGGTGGTTAGCCGCCCTTCGTCATATGCGCGTGCAATGTCCATAGCCACCGTGTCAGAATATCTACTACTCCGTGTTAGATACTTTGACGGTAGCTTCTCTAGATTTGCTCCCAGTGAAGTTATCCAGAACCCTCGTCCATTGAGAAGCTGTCTACGCGTTACCGCGTTTAGGTTAGAAATGTGTGCGACCACCTGATGTAAGGCTCCGTCTATCAATACAGTGGTCTCCCTGTTCCTCCCTCCGTTTTGTGGCTCCATGGTAACGGGAGCCACTGTTTTTGTGTAGGCCATGTGAGTTGGATAATTGCGACATTGTGTGTTCCATGTCGTTATCGACACCTCTCTGTTGCTGCCCCGAAAACTTGTAATGTCTTGGCAGGTGGGCACATCTCTTAACTTGGAGATTGCCGACCCGGACATAGGCAGGGGCGCCCTGAAGGTTGACTTGAAAAGCTCCGAAGTCTTTTCGTCTGGAGTAAAGTCATAGTTATAGGCCATCTTACTTAGCAGTTGGACACGGTTGCTTCACAAATTTTTCTGAGCATGACAGATTCTTGGTGGGACAAAGTTACTGTCCTTATCTCGTTCCTAATGATCGAAGCCAAAATCAATACTATGGCCACAAGCAACAAAACTGCGGTTAGTATGAGTTGATTTCTCTTCCTGCTAGAGTTGGCAGTCAGGGAAAGGTTCGACCCCGTGGGGGATTCCATTTCTCCAAAATACAAGTTATATAATAAATCTGGTGTCTTTGTCGTCCCAGCTGTTTTTATAAAAAAGTGTCTCGTGATACGAGCAATAAGACAAAACAATATGTTTCGAATAGTGGATCTGTTCTCACATGCAGTGGTTGCCTTGTTCGGTCCTCTCTGGTCTTATAAAAACGATTGTAGAGGAAAACAAATTCACGAATCAGCTTTAGAATTTGGTTTTGTTACCGTGAATGATGGACAACCCACTAGAGTAAAGCTTGTTAACGGTCATCTTCAGAAATCATCCCCAGATATATCTTTTGTATCAGCCGATATTGCAATCAACTGTGATTGGTCTATTCTAAATGAGAATTTAGGGAGTGACCACATATTTATAAAAATAAAACTTAATTATCAAGACCAAATACATATTTCCCAAACAAGATATTACAAATTAGCTGACTGGGACGCGTATAAAAAGTACATTACAGAACATTTATTGTATTCTCAAGAACAAAAAGATGTACAGAGCCTGTATGAGCATTTCATTCAACAAGTTAACAGAGCTGCGTGTGACAGTATCCCCATGAAAAAAATATGTTTTAATCCGAGTAACAACTTCAGACCAAAAGGGTATTGGTGTCAAACAATATCTAAATTAGTTGCTGAACGTAGGCTAGCTTTAGCAAAATTCCGGATAAATCCTACTCCAAATAATTTAGATATGCTTAAGGAGAAAATACTAAATGCTAGGCGTGCTATACATAAAGCTAAATCAAAGGATTGGCAAACCTTTTGTGATAGTATTGACCATACTTTATCGGTTTCGCAAATGTGGGATAAAATGCGTTGGATTAAAGGATATAAAAGATGCAAAGATTACATTTCCATAGACTCACAATCTGAGTTATTACGTTCCCTTACCCCTGATTATGTCATGCCATCACCACCCTGTTTTTTCTCATTAAATCAATCGCTGGAAGCGGAGTTTAGTATGGGAGAGATGCGTGGATGTTTTAAGAAAAAAGACACAGCACCAGGGGAAGATATGATTACTTATTCAATGATCTCTCAATTACCTGAAACGGGTCAGCTATATCTATTAAATTTATACAACTTGATATTAAAGTTTGGTTGCGTTCCAACTCAGTGGCGTAATATAAAAGTGATAGCTATACCTAAATGTGATGCTTCGTCTGACTCTAATAATAAACTGAGACCTATTTCCTTAATCTCTTGCATTTGTAAGATTTTTCACACAATGCTAGCAAGACGGCTTGAGTGGTTTGTGGAAAGGAATGAGATCCTATCCCCGTCTACAACAGGGTTTAGAAGAGGTCAATCTTGCCTAGATTGTCTAGCCCGACTAGTGACGGATATCCAAATAGGCCTCACTAAAAATTCTCCCACCTTGGCATGCTTTTTGGACATTAAAAGCGCATATAATAACGTGTTGATTGAGAAAATGTTACAGACCCTTGATACCTTAAAAGTAGGAAAGAGCATTTGCCAATATCTTTGGAACTTTCTTAGTGAACGCCGACTTAAGATTACTGATGTAGCTGTAGAGGGTAGAGAGGTCGTTAGAACAGCAAGAAATGGATTAGCTCAAGGTGACCCTATCTCACCACTTCTCTTTAATATAGCTACTTTTGAGATTTGTCGGGATATTGCGGCAAATATAAATGTATGCCAATACGCAGATGATTTTGTTTTGTATACAACCGGTAATAGTATATTAGAATCGGCAAATAGAATGCAAGCCTCCTTAAATATGTTTACAGAAATATTGACACAGTTAGGATTAGAAGTATCTACAAGTAAATCACATTACTGCATTTTTAGTAGAGGCCGTAGAACTCAACAGCTTAATCTCTCGATCAACTACAGTTCACTAGGATTAGTAGACACTTATAAATATTTGGGAATATGGCTCGATAGCTCGCTGAAATGGAGTAAACACATTGATGAGGTAATACAAAAAGTTTTAAAATTCAACAATTTACTAAAAATACTTGCTAGTTCTTCTTGGGGATTACACCATATTCACTTGCGAAGGATATACATTGCTATCATTAGAAGTAGATTAGATTATGGAGGTTTCTTGTATAATAATTGTTCTAAAACACTAAAATACAAATTAATGAAGGTACAAAACCAGGCATTACGAATAATAGGTGGTTTTATTAGAAGTACTCCAATACACGCTATGGAAAGTGAGCTCTGTGTTCCTCCACTGCATTTAAGAAGAATGTGGCTAGCTATTAAGTTTTGTTTAAAATCTCGCTCCATAACGAAAAATTTAGCTAATAACTCGTTACATGAACTGTGCACTCTTGGTCATGTTAGGTATTGGTCAAAAAAGGAAATGCCGTTATTAGCTACTGCATTCGAATTGGTAAAGGAAGAGAACATTGACTCTAAACCTACCTTAGATATGTTCAGTCTACGTACATGGATAAACAATTTTAACATTAAAGAGTCGATTGTTCTTAATTTGGATATAGTCAATATGCCTAAGAGAAGATATAATGCAACCTATCTTCATTATAATGTAATTAACGAGTTACGTGAAAAATACTCAGAGTATTATATAATCTTTACAGATGGATCCAAAAGTAATGTAGGTGGAGGTGCTGCATATTATGACCCTTCAAACCCGAATCGTAGCAATTGCTACAAATTGAATAAATGTTTTAATATTATGTCATTGGAACTCATTGCAATTTCGGAAGCATTATCTTATGCTAAAACTATTACAAATAATAAAATTCTAATATGTGTAGATAGTAAGAGTGTTCTACAACATATAGCTCGATGCGCCTCTGGTGTCAGAGGTGTACCGATAGCTTATACTATTATTGCTGAAGTAGACAAATTGACCAGCCATGGAAAAGAACTGAAGTTGCAATGGGTTCCATCACATATAGGATTAAGTGGTAACGAGAAGGTTGACAGTCTAGCGAATAAGGGAATTTTCGAAGGCCAAGATTTAGGTATTAAACCAGATTTTTCGGAACTGTTACCAAAATATAAGAAAAAGTGTCATCAAAATTGGATAGAATATTTTAATTTGCGATCAAGATCTAAGGGCATATGGTACAAAACTATAGTCTGTGAACCTCCTCGCATACCATGGTTTTCAAATGTTAAAATGGGTCGAAAATTGTTGGTGGTTGCTGTCAGGCTGAGATCAGGGCATATGCCGCTTAACAACTTTGCCTTTTTAATGAAAAAATGTGCTTCCCCTAAATGTGAGGTGTGTGATACGGTGGAAGACGTTGTTCATCTCTTAACAGAATGTGTCCGGTTTCAGCATGAGAGGGATAAATTGATAAAAGACTTAGGTCTAATTAAAAACAATACTGGTTTATATCATGAAATTTTATCTGCACCTTCAAGTGATGCGGCCAAGAAATTGTATAGTTTCATAAGTCTTCGTTTTATCTGATAGATGATAGAACTAAGTTTAGATTTATTATGTATTGTGATGTTTTTAAGTATTATAAGGTACGATGGGACTGCCATGTACTTATGTATAAAAGTTCCGAAAAAAAATAAAGAGAAAAAAAAAAAAAAGGGTGGGTGGGATGCTAATCTATTCGGACGAAGCCTTCGTATAATTATGATAGAACTTCACGTACAGGTAAGTTCGTTTAATCATTAATTATACTCGGCTTCGTCCTCTTAGATTAGCATTGATATAACACTTGTAGACTTTTAGAGCTTGTATCGTGAAATATGACTACAATTTTTGTAGGTAAACAAAAGATAAAAGATTAAAACTGGCTTATTTAAATCAACTTCTTTAATAATAATAAAAAAAGGACACATTTAGGTCAAAAACTAAGTTCAGTCTTCACAATCGTATCTACTATTTAAAATTAATTAAATAAAATTATGATTAAGTCTCGCCCATTATGGCGCGTGCAAAAGAATCATCAAGGGTATTACCATCCAGTGGTCTATAATAAAATCGAAAGAAAGTTTCCGAAGAAGCCGTCCAGCCAGCCGCCCGCCGGATGGCGTCGAGGCTGACACCAGAACGCAGCGCCGCGGACGTCGCAGCGTGGCGGGCGCTATGCGCGCCATACGCCGCCACGTCCACACCGCTGGCCATCAGTGTGCTACGGATCCAACGACTTAGTGTCTGGCTGGACACACTGCCGTGAGGTTTCTTCAAACCGATAAATAGACCCTTGGAGGTGCCACGCAAAGAACTTGTTACGTTCAAGTAATATAATAGGGTTCAAGCTGGGCATATGGCCGGTTTTTGATTAAAAAATGGTAAAATTAATACTGGTTGCTGAGACCCAACTCGGGAAGTTTTTATTAAATCAGTTATTTTTATTCTCATTTGGGAATCTGTTCTTGAAATATTATCTATGCTAATTTTGGAAAACGTTTGTGCCCTATGAGCGGTAACTAACGCAAGCAAGGTAATAAGTTTTTTAGAGATATCTTCTAAAGATAAAGATTCATTAGGATAAAGATTTTCTTAAAAGTTTAATACTAGGGAAACATCCCAAGTTGTGTCATACTTGGCTCGTGGAGGTCGCAATCGGTATATACCTTTGAAAAAACGTTTGATGCTTTCATCGAGTCCTACATGTTCTCCTATGATCAAGGCCAAGGCGGAACGACAACAGTTCAACGTTCCGTATTGAGCACCTTCATCTTTATACAATTTAACTAAAAAGGTTAATATTTGTGGAATGCTAGCATTTAACAAATCAATTTTGTTATTTGAACAATGTAAGTACCACTTTTTAAGATAAACATCATATTGTTTTATTGAATTTGATGAAAGAGATGCTAACATCACGTCTAAAGCAGATAAAGGGATACCCCTTCTGGCTAATGCTGACTGGATAATACTGCGGCCGCCAGGGTAACTTGTGAGTGCATGTTGCGGGCGCTGTAATGAGAGCAAACAATAGGTCTTTCACTCGGCTTAAAAATTAAAATTCTGGAACATACTAGGCTTTTGAAAAGCGGATACCAAGGTTGTGTTGGCCAGAGTGGCACCACCATAATTCCTCTCCCTTTATCTTCTAATATTTTTCTTAATGTTTCAAGTACCATAGAAAACGGAGGGAATGCATAGAAGAAGCAAGATGACCAATCTACTGTGAATGCATTGACTGCTTCAGCATCTGGGTCTCGATGCCAAGATATATATCTTGAGCATTTTGTATTGATTCTACTCGCAAAGAGGTCAATCTCTGGACAGCCAAACGCATTCACAATTTTTCGGAAGCTGGTATCCGATAGTTCCCACTCAATGTCAGGATGGATACGCCTGGACTCTGCATCTGCCTCTATATTATCAGATGATCGTATATAGGAGGCAAATACGTATATATTGCGTTGCTCGCACCACTGCCACAGAGTTTTAGTGATCTCTGTCAGGTATGGGAACTGGATACCGCCCATGCGATTAATATATGATATAGCTGTTGTATTATCTATTCGCAGTAAAAGTTGACAGTTGCATAATTCTTTTGCAAATGTTTTTAACCCGAAGAAGGCCGCCAATATTTCTAAGTAATTAATGTGCTGGGAGGATTCCTTATTACTCCACAACCCACTAGCCCTGCTTCCACCACAAGCCGCGCCCCACCCCGTTGTTGAGGCATCTGAGAAGATCTCCAGGTCGTAGCTATCCTGCTTTATGCGGCTCACAGAACGCCCAATTACCCTATCCCACCAAGCTAAGTCTGATTGAATAGAATTAGGCACAAACATTAACTTTTCATAATCGTCACTACCTTGTAAATTCAAAAATTTTATCCTTTCAAATAATGTTCTATATAACTAAACAACAAGAATCGTGTTCGGATTTGCTACATACTAAATCGTCATCATATTTGTCTGCTAACAATGTAAATAACTACTTTTTAAATGTGGGAAAAAATCTTGCTAATCACTTGCAGTCATACTCTAAAAATCGGACAAATACAACTTGCACCCACTCGAATAATTATACCGAAAAATCATTTGTTTTATTAGACACAGACGAGCACGAAATTGCTCGAATCATTACGGGAATGAAAGATAATTTTGCGGTTGGTTGTGACAGTATCAGTAATAGAATCCTCAAAAGTTTTAAGCACGTGTTTGTTCCTCCTCTGACGCATATTTTTCGTGAGTGTCTGTCCAAGGGCATTTTCCCGACATGTCTTAAAAAGGCAGTAGTTGTTCCTATTTTTAAATCAGGTAATAAGGAGTCAATCAATAACTATAGACCTATTTCACTACTGCCCTCAATATCCAAAATTCTCGAGACAATTATTAATACAAGATTGAAAAACTACCTCGAGAAAAATAAAATCTTGTCACCACTACAATTTGGTTTTAGAGCAAAATTGTCAGCAGCTGATGCAGTACATACACTCACAGATTTTATATCAGAAGAACTAGGAAAAGGCAACCACGTGCTAGGAATCTTTATTGATCTTGCCAAAGCTTTTGATACTGTTTCAATTCCACTGATTCTTAAGAAGCTGGAATGCATAGGTGTCAGAGGCACGCAGCTCAATCTCTTTGCTGATTATCTCGTTGACCGTTATCAATGTGTTAGAATAGATAATATAATGAGTTCATTTCAGAAAAATACTTGTTATGGAGTGCCTCAAGGTAGTATACTAGGTCCTACTCTATTCTTAATACATATCAATGATTTGTGTAATCTCAAAATCTGTCATGGGAAACTAATATCATATGCCGATGACACTGCTTTAATTTTTTCATCTACTAATAAATCAGAATTGTACAAAAATGTTAATAATTGGCTTTCCTCTAATTTACTAACATTAAATGCGGACAAAACAAAATTCATTCAATTTTCTATGCGTAAGTCTCCAGATACCACTGTTATACCCGAGTTATTTGCACATATATGTGCAAATAAACTAGCTGGTACATGTAATTGCCCTTGTATCCTAAAAACTACATTCATCAGATACCTCGGCATTACAATCGACGAAACTCTCTGTTTCAAACAGCACATCAGCATTCTAGTTTCACGAGTCAGAAAGTTGATGTGCATCTTTAAAAAGATGAGATATATTGGTGACATGAAATTAATCACGCAAGTGTACCAAGCCCTATGTCAGTCCATTATACAGTATTGTATTAATTCTTGGGGCGGTGAATTAAAAACTGTTATTCTACCTCTAGAACGCGCTCAGAGGGCTATCCTTAAGGTAGCATTTTCTCTTCCCTTTCTTTTGCCTACATCAATTTTATATAACACCTGCAATGTTTTAACTGTTCGCCAAATTTACATAGTACAACTAATACTTAAACAGCACTCATTACTCCCCTTTAAAACTAATTATTTTCTTAATAAAAGACGGAATGACATAGTTTGCAATTCAACTTCAGTGTCAAAACACGCCTTTATTAAAAGATTTTTCATTTTCCTAGGCCCATTTTTATATAATAGAATAAATAGAGAATTAAGTATTTATAGCCTTAACCATTATCGTTGTAAAAAAATATTAACTAATTATGTACACTCCCTAACATATGAACAAACTGAGGAATTACTTGAGGTTTGCAAATAATGTAATAATAGCTGACGTCTGTTTATGTAATTGTACACGCGCACCTGTAACACTTAGATACTAATTATTTAAATTACTTGTTATATTTTAGTTTTATATTCGTTTAGTTTGATAAGCAATAATATTGTAGTAGAAGTATGTCAGCACTTTTTTACCTGAAACACAGGTTTGCACCTAGTTCAGGTTGATGTTATACACTGTACTTTTTCTAGATTTTAAGATATATCTTTTGTAATCTACCTTTTACAACAAATAAACAAACATATTATTATTATTAATGTTGTGTACAGCCATCCATACTCGACGGCTGGGCACGAAGAAATTAGTAAGCCGACAAAGCGTGCGAAATCTCTTATTTTGCATCTACTCATTGATTGAAACTTTTTAATTTCATTTTTGATATGAACTACTTTTTCCAAAGGCAAACTGACCTGGAGATTTTCTGTATCAATATTAAAACCAAGAAATAAACAACATTTGTTCGGCGTGAAGATACTTTTTTCGTTGTTTATAATGAAACCAAGAGCGGTAAGCAATTTTTTAGTTTGTTCTGTGTTTTCTAGGCAATGATTGTAAGATTGGCCAATAAGGAGCCAATCGTCTAGGTACACTGTAGACATAAACCCAGCTGAACGTAGGATTTTCGCCACTGGTTTCATTATTTTAGTGAATACATAGGGTGCTGTACTGAGACCGAATGGTAAAACATTAAATTCATATAATTGTTGGTTAAACTGAAACCGTAGATATTTTTTGTAATCTTCATGAATTTTTATTAAAAAATATGCATCTTTAAGGTCAATTTTTGCTAAGAAACAGTCTCTAGAGACAAGTTTTAGGGCTGTACGGATCTTCAAGTTTAAAAAATAAATAAAATTATATAAACTCTTTAAATTTAGGATAAATCTCATTTTACCATTCGGTTTTGGTACCAAAAACACATTAGACAAGAATTGACCATCAATTGGTGAACATTTTGAGATTGCACCAGTGGACATTAAATTATAAATTGCCTCCTCAAGCTGAACTTTTTCCAAAATACTACAAGTTCTAGGTGGGGGGAGACAGTTGAACCGCAGGTGTTGAGAAAGGGATTTTATATCCACCTATATATGATAGCACCACTGGGTCTTGAGTAATAAGCGACCACTGGTCTATAAATTTTGCTAGTCTCCCAGCGTATTTTACCTCCGTCATCAACGGCGGCTGTGATGCTGCCCCCGCGACGTCTTCGATGAGTTGCCGCGCCGATTCCTCGTTGTCGTCTCCTTCGTCACTGCTGGAGCTGTCTTGCGCAAAGGGGGGTTTGTCTTCCAGTTTTTTTAAGATGAAGCAGACGTTGTAAACTTCTTACTAGGGCCAGGTTTAGGAGTGGTGGTGATCTTCAGTTCTGCGCCAGACTTGTTAATAGCTTTAGCAGCTTTTAAAGTATCAGGCAATTTATCCCCGAACAGAAAAGTATCAGTCTTGGCACTTAAGAGGGATTCTTTCATATCCTTTTTGATGGAACTAATTACATAGTTTCGTCTTGTCAGAGTATCGCTATGTTGGCAATCACATAACATGCGACTTGTGTCCATTAAAAGACGCAACAAGTTAGTATCTTTCTCTTTTGAAGAAATTGTCAAAGAGATTACCTGGCCTAGGCACGCAATAGCAGCTGCGGTGACTTTTTGTTTAGCTTCAATAGCTTTATCTCTCTTAATGACTTGTTCAGATAAAGCAGCTTTGAGTTCTGGGTTGAGGACTGGAGCGCCAATGAGTTTACAATTATTTGGTACGAGGTAAGTGTCCAAAAGTTGGTTTCGGTTCTCTCTTGACAACCCTTCGATGGCATTGTGCTCCAATCGAACGGCAACATCCTTTTGAATATTATTACCATAATTTTTAGGTGCGGTGGGGTCAATACCCAGGATTTCAAGCACTTCAATATCTATCATCTCATATTTGGAACAATCTGTCTCCACCTCTTCGTGCTATGAAAACAGTTGGTGCTTTTAGTAGAAAGTTTAAGAAAGAATTATTACATGCCCAAAGTATTTCCACATGAACGTACCTCTGGTCTGTACACAGTTTGTGTGTAGATTTGTTTCACATTTGGATACTCCAAGCAGCAATTACCTATACACTTCTAAACTTGTCACCTGAATTATTATTGTTTTGTTTGCACATAATTTTCTATTTTGTATTAATAAAACTATTTTTATTTATTTATTTTCTGATGCTGAACGCATGTTTGTATGAAATATTTTTACGTATGTTTATTTTTCTGACTTCTTTTCTTAAGTACTCTGACAGCCGACTAAACATTATCTCTAGTATATTACTATAGTCTATGCGACCAAATCCAGTGGTGCCACAGACTATGCCCTATATCTGCGCCTGCGTGTCTACGGGCGCCCGCACATTCCATCGATTGTCTATGGCAGAGAGGGACAAACGTTACCTACCGGGGCATGCACGCGTTGGTGTCGATGTATTGTTCTGTGGCATAACTAGGTACATCTTTCTTGTCATTTATATTTGTATACTATTTATAGAATATTTTTAGTAGGTATTTTATTACTATTATTTTTTGTTTATAATTTTTATATATATCTAATATTTATATATCTCTAAATATTTATATATGTTTATCTGTTTCTGTGTTCCGTGAGTGTGTCCGTGGCATCACCAGGCCCTATCAGAATACCAGCGCTGCGGTATTTTTACCTACTGGTGAATTATCGCAGCATATGCTGAGATAGTGGCCTTTTTGACCTCGCACAGGTCTTTTATTTTATTTTAATATATTTTTTTGTTGTTGTTTTGTTTATTTTTGTTTGTTTTTTCTTTTTGTATTTATAAAATGTAATTGTATTTATTTTCTGTGCGAGTTTCAAATAAATGTTTTTCTTTCTTTCTTTCTTTCTTTCATCTAATGTGGCATCTTTGGTTTCAGCATCATTAGCAGCTGAGGCTGAACCGGCTGTCTCAACCGTGTTGATTATATCCATGGTGTTCCCAATATTAGAGCATTCAGTACCCCGTGTACAATCAACAACCGTGTTGTTGGGATGTTGTGCACTTACTTCATTGTCTGTAAACAAATTGAACACTTGTTAGACTGTATCATAGCTAATAAGTTAAGAAACATACCTATGTATTGTTCACAAAACTCATTATCACTAGATAAGTGGGTAGACAATGTTCAATTGTCATCTTACTATTTTGTAGTGAAGAAATAGCCCTGATAGCTATCCACAACACCATAGTATAGGTAAGTAACACCCTTAGCGTGTCACAATCCTATTAGACTATATCATAGCGGGTAAGTTAAGAAACTGACCTAATGTTCTGTTCACAAAACTCATTTACGCTATATACGTAGCTAGATATAACTCAATCTAAGGGATTTTTTAGTAAACAAATAGCCCTGGTAGCTATCCACAGTACTATAATTTGGGTAAGAAACAGCCCTTAAGACTGTTTACAATACCATATGTATAGTTATGTCTCTGAACTGTTTTTTATGAAATGGCAACGGTTCGTGACGGTAGTTATAACAAAGAAAACAAATTATTGTACAATTTTTCAATACTAACCATGTTTTTCCGATAATGTTGATTCCTCTGATGAACTAGACATAACACGTATTCTACGGCGTCTTTTTGGATTTTCAACACTTTGTTCACGTTGGTGTCGACGTAATTCCTCTTCGATATTTTTCAATTTATTTAGTAAATGTTCGTAATTATCGTCATACGAGTATATCTTCCTTTTTGGCATATTTACGCTAGTAATTAGCTTGCTAATGTTTTTTAGTAATTTAAACACTGAATTTTAACTAAAAGTATGCGAAGCGGCAAAACACTAGAACGCGAATGGAGTGGCGCGAAAGAGGGGCGTCAATGTCAAGAACGTCAAAATTTCTTTGTGTCACCTCAAATTAGTGTTGCAAGCGGCGAATACTGCGCGGTACTACAAGTGTTATATCAATGCTAATCTAAGAGGACGAAGCCGAGTATAATTATTCTTTTGCATAAATCCTTTTCTTCGGCTTTATTAAGAATAGGGACACGACCAGTTCCGTGGAACCAGATTTTATGTGGTTTCTTAATGTTCGCCTGGGTATGCCATATGTTTCAGCAGCTTTTCGCTGTGACATTTTATGCCGCTTTTTACTACTTGGAGGGCGGATTTTAACTGTGTTTCTGTCCAAGCCCCGCGCTTTTTTCCAGTAGAATTGGAAGGCTCCATTCTTATCTGCGATAAAATAATAGTGCATTAGAATTAAATTTATTTAGTATCTAAAACGTATTTACAAAAATTAGGAGTTGAAATTCATATATAAATAGCTAGTCGTTCGCCGCGAACGTAGACCTCGCGTCCCTCATTCACTAAACACTTCTCGCAAGGTTCGTTACCGTTTCAGAAAAAGAACCAAGTGGGGACTACGCTCGGCATTGCTTAACCTGCGTAAGGCATTTGATGAGCCACACCAATTGGGCCATCGAACTTCTCGTAACCTAGATGGTTTGACGATTGTACTGATATTTTTTCAAATATAAATTACCCGATTTTGATATCCTAATAACTTACAAATTGTAATGACTATTGCTACCTATTTTCCAAATTTCATCTAAATTAGACCCAACGGTTTGAAAGTAAATGGTTAATATTTATTTTCTCAAAAATATTAATATTTCTAAAACGGCTGAACCGCTTATAATGCCCAACGAACTTAAAAATTGTACTGATATTTTCTATATAAATTTTAAATTTCATCAAATACATAATTGGACTAACGGTACACATACATACAAACATACAAAAACTGTGTTTTTGCCCCATGTTGATTTATAGACCTCGCTCGCTCAGTCAATAATTAATGCTTATTTAATCTTAATAAACGTAATGGATTTTTAAAACTAGCACTATTTATTTTTTGGTTGGACTATAATTCATTCAAGATTTATTGCATTTCATCATAGTTTCCAAATCATTCACAGATAAACTTTGTAAAGACAAGTACAAAAATATAGTAACACTATATTTCAATAGCCCTAAGAAGGCCCGGGCCCCTGGGCTATGTTAGGGTATTATACCATGGGGCATGATAGGAAATTACACCCAGGATAAATATAATCCAGTAAAAATACGAAAACGGTAATAAAATAATAACACTCACCTGAAGTTGATAAATAGTTCAAATATGAATTGTCACAGTTTACATCAATGAGATTTGCTTTAAATTTACTAATTTTCAGAAAGGTTAATATGAAGGAGGTTATAAAACGTGTATCGTCTTGACATGACCAAATGAACTGTCATCTATCTTCAAAATGGCGACGCGTCGGAGGTGAAACACACGCGTGCAATATCGTGAATGGCGCTAGTAGCATAAACCCGCGAAATTTCAAATGATTAGAATAATCATAACTATATTTTTTTTAAAGTGGGTCTATCTTGGAAGCTGGGCCATCTTCGGCGACACTACCTGTTCATATAGAGGTAGGCCACCTGGTTCGGGGCGGTTCGGGGTATGTACACACCCACGCACGGGGTATGTACCACCAGCATCATGGTGGAATGAGAAGTGCGAACAAAGCGTCATTAAGTATTATCAAGCTTTAAAATACTATAGAAGTAATCCTACAATGGATAACTACATTATACAGGGTGTAAAAAGATACTTAACGAAGCCGTTAACTACGCATACTGCGGTTCTAACTAAGTAGCTTTACGCTAAAATTATCACTGGGAAACGACTTTTATTTTTAGGTATCAAAAAAAAAAACATTGCGCGCAATGTAAAGCAAACGGGCTCTTCGTGTCATTGTGTGCGCAGGTTCACAGCTTAGCATTAAAACGTTGTGATAAGTACGTAGGTCGACGTTTTACTTCGCAACAACAAAACAATTCTGTAAAATAAAAATCCTACTGAGATGCACGATGTTTTTTGTGCGGGTCTGCATTTATTTATTACGTACATTACTGTTCGTAACTTCAAATGCGTAATTTATTTAGAAAAATCTAAAATTCAGGTAATGTTTGTTAGGAAAAAGTTTTGTAATAATACTTAGAATTCGATTGCGCAAAAAAAATGCATCTTTGACCTTCAATATTTCGAGAACCCGTGAAGTCCCAGCTATGGTCTTAAAGAAAAAAATGATCCAAATAATGGGTTGAATACGTGGCTTTCGGCTTCGTTAAGTGTCTTTTTACACCCTGTATATAAGAAGTAAGACGCCTTGAAAAAGAGAACTATATCTGAAGAAAGGGAAATCTCTGTGAGTCTTTTAATAGAAGTACTCCTATCAGTAAGATTTGGAACTATATTAATATGTTTAAGGAAAGGAAAACTCAAATCAATTTCTGATGAATTTGTTTTGCCATTCTTAGATAAACTATCAGATAATGGATCTGATGGTATAGTTGATGTTGATATGTATTTTAATATTAATAATGATAATAATGAGACACAGTTTTTAATTGAACCTTTTACATGGCAAGAGTTTAATATGAGTCTTCATTCCCGAAAAAATACTACGCCTGGATTGGACAACTTTCCTTATATTTTGATAAAACATTTACATATATCGGTTCAAAAATTGTTTCTGAATATTCTTAATGCACTTTGGCTTCATCAAGTAATTCCACTATCTTGGAAAACGCAATGTGTGATTCCAGTGCTTAAACCAGTCAATGATGCTAACTCTAGATCAATAAATTTTTGAGAACATGGTTAAGATTCGTCTTGATTGGTATGTGGAATTGAAGTGCATTATCCCGACTATTCAATTTGGCTTCAGAAGAGGCAGAAGTTGTGCAGACACCTTTGTTTCTCTTATCTCTGATCTGAAAAGAGCAAGAAATAATAATGCAATAATAATAATAAATCCGCAAGGCAGCTTGTGGCGAGCTGTTGGGCAGTGGCGACCCCACGGACCTGACTCCC